TGACATATCTAACGTATGCGTTAAAAGCACTTGACCTCTACGGGGATGTAGGCCATAGGCATATAGGTTTTACTCTGTGATTGCGGCGGTACATGTACCTTGGTGTCTTGAGGGGGAAAAGAAGATCGAGAGGGCATAGTTGGACATCCATACGATTAAATAATATTCTGTGATGATAGCTAGGGTTGATATTCAGTATTCAGTACCAAACTGCGTTGTGGCGATTTTGGGAAGGAGTCAGTGAGCGGCCTCATTATACGTTTAAAATGTGTATCTTGAGTTTAAGAGTAATTAGTGCTCTTAATTATGTTTTGTTAAAGTTCATCATGCGATTATTATTACTGAATATGATTATGTCATTACGAAATGTATAGCATAGTTACTAAGAAAATGTTCATGTTTAAAAGTTGCTTCGAAATTATTACAGAGCAAATCTTTTACCTCATTTTGTCATTTGTCATTTTGTCTGAACTGGTTCCAATATTTGTCTTACATTTCCATAATATGTATTCATTTTGTCGAGTTAATACAGTGTTTAAATACTACAATTAAGTGATGTTTGGGGAAGAGCACTTTAATTAACATTGGTGGTAAATACCTGAAAGTTTATTATTTTCTCCTTTTTTTAATTAAAGAGATTGCATGAAATAATTGCCGGATCAGCAAAGACATGAGTGTGGGGAAGGGGGTGGAGGTGATAAAACGGCGTTTGGAGTTTGAGTGGTGGAGAAACTTTCCGCGCAAGATGACAATGAATTTGAGCGTTTGTTGGGTACGTTAAGAAAGAAAGGGCCCGGACATCCTCATATTCCTGCAGTGGAATGTCCGAATAGTCTCATATTAGGCAGGAGGTATACCTAAATGTAAATTATGTATTTTTCTCCAGAAAACGATGTCCAAAATTTGGAGGAAAATTAGGATACTGAAACCTCCTTGCAAAAGGCGCTTTACCCCACTCGCCAAAAAGTGCACGTAAGTCTATGCACTTTAACGGTAAACTGTCAGTGTCATTCACAGGCACATGTTTTTGGAATGATCTACCCCTATCAATACGGGAGAAAACATTAGTGTCCTGCTTTCGTAGAACTCTAATATCACACATGTTAATATAATAATTGTTTTGAACTTTGAACCAAGGTTCTTGTCTTTTTGTGAATATAATGTGTTATAATTCTGTATCTTTTTTTTTAGTGTAAAATACCAAAGTTTTGTATTTAATCACAGAACATATTTTAGCCTAGGTGTAGAATAGCTTGTTGCTTAAGTATGTATTCACTAGTTGTTCATATATCTATTACTTTTGTGTGTAAGTGGTACCAGACACAATTAGCATTTAATGCTATTTTCTGGTTTGGTTCAACTTTTTCGTGTTTCTTCTCCAGTATTATTGACTGTAAGTTGCTTACATTTTTCTTTGTATCTGTTATTATTATTTTTGATTTGTTTTCTTTCTAGCATTTCCGTGAAGATACAAGCCTATATTTATAAGAAGTTATCTATTGATTAAATCACTATTGATTAAATCACTAGTGTTTTCTGAAGCTGAGGGCTCATAAGTTGATTCTGACGCAGATAAGGCATAGATAATAATTGAAAGTCTTGAAAGTACATCTCAAATTGTAAACAGTAACCCCTATTCAGCGACAGTTACAGTTACAGGTACAGTTTAGAGATAGATTGCTATATAGGTTACACTTACAGTTTAGATTGACGTAGTACAGTTTAGTTTCGGATACTCGTTGTAAGATTTGTTGTTATTATACTCATCATGTTCATACTCAGCTCTTTTCCGTATCTGTATGCAACATAATTATGGACCTCTGCCTTGTGCAGCTGAGTCTGAAATAAAGTTCTGAATTGAATTGAATTGAATTAATGAAACGTAGAGTCCTACTCTCCATTCATACGAGAGACGTGTTAGACAAGACAGTTACAGTCCGAAAGTGTAGACTATCAAGAAAGAGAATAAATTTGGGAGCGGCCTGGTCTGATGCGCTCTCGTACCGTACGGAGTCTGATGTGGGATGCGCGGGAGTGCAAAATAAGTAGGCGATATACTTTCACAAGGCAATACATTCAAAAATTTCATCCAGCGTAAGTTAACCTGAAGATAAGCGCCATATCTCGGAGAAACACTTTCCAGTGTTTAAACAGTCAGATATTCAGGTAAGTTTTTCTCGTCATTTTCTTCCATATAATCGTATATACCTTGTGTCACTTCGTTAGTGAATAGTGTTAGTGAATGTGTGAGATTTTATCGTGCATTGAGACTGTTCCGCTCTATCATATGCGAGATACGATGGTACAGCTAGGATTGGCTGATAGTGATATAGCTGATACCCTTGGCGTAACATTGTTATGAGGACGTGTGTATATATATTCATTTTGGATTATAAATCTCGTTTCACACGAGGCGTTATTTTAATTACGTTGTTGCCTGTGCTAATAGAGCCACTACATGTAGTACATGCACCAGTTATTTCAAATACTGTCTACCAGTTGTTTAGGTTGTAATACAACTTATGGTTGTATTCACCCTCTTTACGATATCACTCTGATGCACATGCTGCGTCAAAGACCGCGCTAGTCCAGTGACGCAGTACTACGTCAGACGAATTAGCGCCTCGTGTGCAACGAGCTTAAGATGCAGACAGGCCTACATAATTATGGTTATAGCCAGTCAAAGTAACTGTTCATCTCGCCATACCCTCTGTTTGCTTTAAACTTACGATTTGATATTTAATTTATTTTTTAAAGTCTTCTAGACTATTATGATGGTTGTTGATTACATGAAGCTATATCTATGGGGAAAAACACGATCCATGCAATTTTATGACGTTTGTTGGACCCGATTGCTGATATGTTGTTGAAGGGAGAGAGGGGAGGGGAGGGGAGGGGGGCGTGCCCTTAATCATCATCTTACACCTTGTCCTTGGCTTTGATAGAAAGTTGACACATGATTCATGGTGAGCTAAAAGCGTGTAGATTTCTGGCGATATCCTTTAAAATATGTAAAATAATGGGTGAAATTAAGCACTGTGTTATTCATCTGAACAATCAAAAATATAGTATGGTCGTTCTTCATACTATAGCACAGGTATTAATTAATCTTTCCTAACTTTCATTTATTATGCATTGAATTTTACGTTCTCCATTTGAGTTTAGGCATGATGAGAACAAGTTACATCGATGCACATTTTTGCTGGCGAGGGTCTCAAGTCTTCTGCCTGAATATCTCTATCCAGATTCTTAATAATTGAAGCAAGCAAAAACTTTGAAATACGTCATATAAATATACTTAAACAAGATATTAGATATGAAATTACAAATGAACAAACTGGTTGTCCAAATATGAGGCTACCGTTGCCCAAATATGATTTGTTTACCTTGTGGGCAAAATAAATAGTACATTTTGTGTGCGTAGACAGTAATGTGAGAAATGTTCTTCTTCGTGAAACCAGATCCGTGTGTCTCTGGTACTTGGTACTTGGTTGATTGGTGCTCCAAAATACTCGTCTGAGTTTCAACTGGAAGTGCGGATAGGGTGTATCAATTTGTAGATGAGAGTTTATTGACGACGTTGAGGGTTGAAAGTCCTGTTGTTTACCATCCCGTCTGTAAAATAACAGATGCGATTACCATTATCATCTGTGTTCTGCATCATTACAATTATCAACAGTGGGCCGATACATAAGGGTTTGTGTAATGATGCTAGTAATTTCATGCATGCAGTACTCTGCAGAATGTCCCATACCCCTCTACACAAGAAGAGTCACATCTCCAGCGTGTATATACTAGCCACACCTAAAAGTAATCTGAATACCCGACTGTTCATAATCCCCGGCCCCTATAATATGTGCCATTTCTCGGCTGGACACATCTACCCAACTTTCAATTTATGTCTGCGAATTCATCTCAATTTCACGTTGCCATGGAAAAGGCAAATTCCTCCCAAAGTCACGATCGTTTGCTGTGAGAGGGTAGTTACTAACCTGGATGACCCCTGCGCTGCCCTCGGAGTGTCAATGCACAATTATTATGTGTAGAGACTCCTCAGTTCTGACTGACACGAAGTATTCGTGCTTTGCTAGTCTCTCCATTCAGCATCTATTTGTCATCATAACATCATAATTTTTTCTTAGTTTCCGTCATCTACAAGATGGTAACTCTTCTTGATTTACTAGTTTCTCTGATATATATAGTAATGAAAGCAGGAGGACATGCTGAAATTGTGATAGAGAGTCCAATACTAAGTCACCATCGTTAAGCTATTAAGATTTTATTGTCCTACGCATCATTCATAACTTTTTGCGTATTTCAAAAGAAGATTTATTAGTCAGATTTCAGATTTATTTTATTCATAATTCCATTAAAAATAAACATCGCGTGTGTATGAATTCTATTCATGATCGCCGTTTTTAGAAATAAATGCTGTTTATTCTTTCACAACAAAAACTGTGTGTGTGTGTGTGGGGGGGGGGGGGTAACATCATGTATCTAATCCCCAATATGTTCATGTTGTTTCTTCTCTGGTCGGTTAGGATGCTGTCTCATCTCTTTCCTGCTTCCCTCCCTTTTCCTTATCCTCTTGTTTTTGCTTCTTCTTCCTCCCTTTAAAGGGACTTGGTAACATTGTTCAGATGATAGAAAATGGTGCTAAGGTAGTGACTTCATTGCTAGATGTACAATTAAAGATAATCTGAAATTTTTAGTGAAAACAGACTTTTATTAATCATTAAAATTGGGGAAAATTGATCTGATCGATTCCTAAATTTTCCCAACTATATGATTAAATACAATTTTAGGTGAATGTAAATTTCACAAAGCAATAAATTGGCTCTATATACTATTCCAACCATTAAAGTGTTGAAACATTATTTCAAAGCCTGTTTTATGTCTTATTTTCATGGAAAAACGGTTGGGTTAATTTATGTTAGAGGGAGTTACACATTGCGCCTTCAAAGAAAACCAGAAAATATCTTTGTGGTTCGAGAATTTTTTCAGGATTTTTTTTTGCATGTTAGTGGGTTAGTACAGTAGAAGGAATATAATAAATAACATTTCATACATTATTGGGCAGTTTTTATCATCAACCTTAGTCAAGGTTACCGGTTCGATGTAAGGCTTGTCGATTTATTCCTTTCGTTCGTCTTTTCGGTTCTCTCTCTCTCTCTCTCTCCAAAGATTTGTTTGTAAACGTTTTTAACCTGTTCTTTATCAATGCTCCTCTCTTTCTTTCCTCATTCTACTATACGACTCCAAGGGGGGGGGGGGTGGAAGTGGTATTTATCAATATTTTTAATTTTATTTATTTATTTATTTATTTTATTTTTTTATTTTTTTTTTTGGGGGGGGGGTTTCAGCCAAATCCCCTTCCCCAAGAAATGTCTTGTGCAAAAAAAAAACAAGGTGCTATAGGGTTATCAACTTTTATACAAATACTTAGCGTCATCAATTTCCTGATAATTTATTATCTAGAGCCCGGGTGGCTTTTCATGTCATGGCTTAACTTTTAGTAGTAGAACACATTCGGAAAACATCTTTCTACGAATGATATATTTTTTAGAGATTGGATTCTAAATATTCCATGTATTAGATCATTCTATCGCGAGTCGACACATTTTTTTCTCCATATGTTCAAGAAAGTAAGTCTCCATTTCGTATCTCATCAAGCCCATGTTGGTATTTGTACTTGCCATTTGTGTTTTCTTTTATGGGAAGAAATGCGCCACAATTATGTTACGGTCATTGCAAAATAAATTATTCTTGCTTTCAAGATTCTCATTCCGTAAGATGCCTGCTCTTCCCAAACGATATGCCCTGCGGTTGCATCCAGGCCTGGTTGCATCTTCCTTGCATACGCTCTTATATATGCAGTAAACAAATTGTCCGAGTATACCCATGACTCAATAGCCATGACTCAACCTACCATCACCAAATAGCGGCGAGCGCCCGATGGATATGTAATTTGCGTTAACATCTGAGCATCTCCGTGTGGTGTATTACATGAAGGGACGGATTCACAAAGAAGTCCCTAATAAGAAGAAACAAGCCATCACATTTTAGGTACAAATTGATTGTAAATTTTTTATCAAGAACAAATGGCTAGCACATTTAAAGGTCCATTTGGACTCTAACATGTAAACAGGGCTCAAGACATAATGAGGGGCCTAGGGGATACTTTTTTGGGCTGTGTTTACAGTATGCACTGTTGGATTTGGAATGGATGACACAGTCCGGTTGGTATAATGGTATAATTAACATGATAAATCAAATCAGTAAGCTGATGTCTTATTGCCAAATGCGCCTCATCTATTCCTCATCTCCGTTCTACCCCTCCACTTTCTTAATATGCTTTCCCTCAGTGAGTTTTCATGAATAATTTACCACTGCATGTTTTCTTGATTAGTTTTGCTCGTCTGAGGTCAGGCTTCTATCAAGGCATACATACACTCAAACCAATTTTAGGGATGCACAGAGCTTTTCGTTATTATCAGTGGCGGATCGAGAGGGTAGGCATGGGGCATTTTTACACGGGGCAAATCTAACCAGGCAATCTGCAGCTGGTATATCTCAAGTACTCATGGATTTTAAACAGAACCCCCCCCCCTCTCTTTATCTGTGCCCGACCGACGCGTGATAAAGACCTTATAATTTAACCCTCAAATATGTCAACCATTCTTATTCTATGTTTTTGTTTAATACATGATTGCTTTGATTATCATCTTTTCAAACACAGTACGTATTCATGTGCATTAATATGACGTCGATAATTTTTTTTTCTTCCCAATACAGCCCATGAGTAGAAAAGGGTAATTAAATTACATGTTTTATTAAATTCAAAATCAATATAAATTAGATAAACATGACGTAGAAGAGTTTCATCGTAAGCATGAAGTTTGTTGTGCTACGCCCCATATTTTAATTGAAATATGTCTATAAAAGATAAGCGCCATGAGCACCGAAAGGTGGACCTGTGCGCTATACAAGTAGCCACTATTATTATTATTATTATAAAAGGTGACTTGCTTAAACTAAGGGGTCGAACGGTGGGTTTTCTAGCTACACTGTTTACAATAGTAACTTCTGATGATATAAAGAACACTATATGTAAAGTTAATGATGCCATGTCATGCCTGATGGTAGTTAATGGACAGAAAGAATCGAGAGTGAAACGCGAGCCAATGTTTCTTATACAAAAAGGATAGATTTAGTATCATTGATAAAAGAGTATGTTTACTTCGATTTCGATTTCGAATTATAATATATAGTCACGATAGTGTGAAGAGGGATGTCTTATTTTCTGGATCTGCCCCCCCCCCCCTGTCTGAGAAGCCTTGATCCCCCACCATGCTGCCCACTGACTATAGATGTAAAAGTCACGTTGTGTAATGTATGAGTGGTATCATTCCCCAAGGACAATGTACAGCCATGGCAAATGTTGCCTGGCACCCTGATATCTTAAGATGAAAGATATATTTCGTCAATTATTTGACAGTAGTCAAATAACCTAATGTCAATGCAATTTAGAAAACAAACAGATCCTGCTCATATTTCTTGCCGCTTAAAATGTTAATTAAACCCTGATATTATAAGAAAAAGATATATTTCATCAATTATTTGACAGTAGTCAAATAACCCAATGTCAAAGCAATTTAGAAATCAAACCCTGCTTATATATCCTGCCACCTAATATATGAATTACAAATTTGAAATCTACAACTATCGTTTTACATTATCTATGGCTGCACAATATGGTCGAACGAGAATTTTGATTGATCGTGCCTGTTTACAGTCAGGTGTACTTGTAGCTGCAGGAAGCTTGGGGTACATGTACGTGCCTCTAATCGAATGGCGAAACGAGAAAAAGAAAGAAAAATACGGGGGAGGTTGAGAAATGGAAGGAAGAAGGAGAAGGTACCGCATAAAGTAAGTCCCATCTAATAAAATATTGGTGGCCTTGTTACTAACAATTCCCATTGAATCCACCTAGTAATATTAGCGTCTGGTGACCCCCTCCACCTCCCCCTTCGGCGATGCGAGTGCCCCATTAAGTGAATCCACGCTACGCCATAGCCTCGCTGTATGGTATTTAATCAATCTCTGTCTATCTCTTTTCTCTCTCTCTCTCTCTCTCTCTCTCTCTCTCTCTCTCTCTCTCTCTCTCTCTCTCTCTCTCTCTATTACAGTTGGAGTATACTTGATCATCAGCTAAAATGGATCCAAGTCAACAGCAAGCCATCATACAGCAGCCCGTAACTACAGTACAGGTATAGTTCAGTGGGTTACCACAACACACCAAATCTGAGAGCGAATGAATTTTGAAAGAAATATGAATACGCTTTCAAATGTAATTTAAAAATGTATACCTTTTCCATGATTGTGGCCCCGAATTGTCATTTGTATATAGCGTTATTGAATTTGCAGAGTGCTGTTGGCTTTGCAGGCGAAGAAAATGGCCGATGGATTGCAAAATCCTTTCGACGTTGTACGGATTAAACAGCGACTTATTGCCGATTTAGCCCTTTTTCCTTCCAGAGGAATTAAAAAATACGATGAAATTGGGATTTTAATACCCGTTAGAAACTTTCAAGATCTCAGACGGATAGAATATCATCTATTTATTTCACTTCCATTGCAATTTTTTTCGACATTGAACCGTAGTCGAATCGTTGGGTGTTGTGTAGTGTACAGTACTTCTCAGTATCACGCACCTTATACTGAAAGATGCATACCCATTCCCCTCTCAGGATATAGTGTGTACATGCTCTGCCCCACTATTCCCGCAGGAGCAAAGTCATCATCAAAATACACATTGAAAATTTAGAGTGTATTTATAATTAACCTGCAAACCATGTTTGAGCATTAAAGATTTCAGTTTAGCTTCCTTTTTTCCCCTCCAATATTGGCTTTCTGTTCATTATTGCGATTTAGTCTCACGAGTGCAAAACGAAATTTGCTATTCTTCGCTTTTGTAGTACCAATAAGCTCTGGAAGAGTTAATTCTGAAATATAACAGATTTATTTTTATTTGATGTCGTTTATATTATATTTTTGGTATGATCAGATGACAACTATAAGCAATCCGTTGATGCCGCGTGGAGGACCTCGTGAATGGAACTCAGGAATTTTCGAATGCTTCAATGATATTCCTATCTGTAAGTTTGCAAATATTGAAGAAGAAAAAAAATTAATGTTATTTGGTTTATTTAGTTCTTGGTTGGTTATCTTCGATAACTTTTTATCTCTTGCAGTATTCATCAATTGATAATGAGATCATTACATAATAAATCCTGGCTACAATCTCCCCCCCCCCCCCTCCCCCCATTTTAGGCAAATGCAATTATTTCAGCTTGGTGTATTTAATTTATTTTGTTAGTCCAAGGTTGGTCTCGCAGTTGCTGCGGTATATCAAAAATGTGGCCGATATTTATATTTGCAATAGTTTGAGAATTTTCCTTATGATTATCATGATCGTGCTACGTAGCATTGTCTAAGAAATGTTGTTATAATCGGTTTCCTCCTGGCAGATTATTTAGCCATTTTCGTGTAAATCGTTTAAGAATGTTAATCTTGGTTCATAATCACAGTAGCTCTAATATCCAGTCACTATGATTTTGTCATGGGGAAGGTGAGAGCTTGGAATTATTGAACAAACAGCTGGAAATCGGTCTTTAATCCCAATAAATCCTGAATGATATTTCGGATGTCCTGAACCACGCCCCCATGTCCGACAACATTGTTGTTCTTAATAGATTTTAGACTCGTGAGATTTTGGGTGTTGAATGTTAGGATGTGTAAATTGGCTGCTTTAATATAACACGAGCGCAAATCTTTTATATTATTCAGATATAATGAGGAAATCAATTCTTACGTCCTCTCAAACTTATTCCCTTTCCCTTTTCTTTGCCCGCATCCATCCCCCTCTAACCAGCCCCTCCCCTTCTTGGTTTGCGCGCACACACACACTCTCTCTATCTTTCTCTCTCTATCTCTCTCTCTTTCCTACATCTCTCTCTTTCCTACACTCTACCGCTCCCTCGGTCTCTCCCCTCTCTTTCTTTCTCCTCTCTCTCTCTCTCTCTTTCTCCCTCCCTCGGTCTCTCTCTCTCGCTCTCCATGTCTTTCTGTCTCTTTCTCTATCCCTCTCTCTCTCTTTCTCTCTCTCTCACTATCTCTGTCTCTGTCTGTGGGTGTGTGTGTGTGTGTGTCTCTCTCTCTCTCTCTCTCTCTCTCTCTCTCTCTCTCTCTCTCTCTCTCTCCTCTCCCCCCCCCCTCTCTCTTTCTCTCTCCCTCTGCCCCCCTCTTTCTAGCTATCTCTGTCCCTGTCTCTCAATGTCTCTTTCTCTCTCCCTCTGCCCCCCCCCTCTCTCTCTCCCTCACTCTCATCAATCAATCCGTTACTAATGACTAACATGATTATGTTTCTCTGTCTACGCAGGTCTGTGTGGTCTGTTCCTTGGAACCTGCTACCAATGCTGTGTGTCTACGGAGATGGGTGAACACTGCTGCGTTCCCATTTGCACACCTGGAGCTCTGGGAGTGATGAGGGCGCAAATCAGAGGACGTCACAATATTAGGGTAATTTCTTCTTCCTGACATAGCACCAATCTCTTTTTTGCGCATTGCCTACTTGACACACAGCTATTATAAATTTTTTCTTTCTTTTGTAGTACTTGAAGGTTGCTCGAGGAATGTTAGGAATTCAACCAGCGCTATATGTCATCTACCCATATGTGACTGCATTAGCCACTGTGATAAAAAAAATTCTTCCTCAATAATTTTCAAAATGAATATTGCAAATATCATGAACATCGCCTTGAAGTTTGATTTTTTCACAAACTTCATATGTATGCGCCAACAAAATGACGCCTTGTGTGAAACACACTTTCAAAATTGACACGATCTGCAACTCTACTTTGTCATAATTTCCCCAAGAACAACCACCCCCCCCCCCCCACCCACCGAGAACAATTACCCTCCAGAAAATTACCCCCAGAACAATTACCCCCAGAGGACAATCACGTTCTACCCCTGAAAATTACACCCTAGGACAATTACCCCAGCCCCCTTGTTCATTAAAGGGGATGTCTACCCTGATAATAAGTTGATTTAATGGAAGCATTTTTTTTCTGGGGGTATTTGTCCTCGCGGGGAGAAGGGGGGGGGGATGCGGGAGGATGTTTGTCAAAGGGGGTCATTTTCATAGGAGGTATGTGTTCTAGGGGGTAATTTTTCGGGGGGATAACTTTCCGGGGGTAATTGTCCTTGGGGGGATATAATTCTGCTGGTAAATGGCCAACGTTGGTGATTGCCCAGGGGGTTATTGTTCTAGAACCGTTAATTGACACCTACTCTGATTCACCATCTATTCTACATCAGACAACGCTAAGATTGATCCGCGAATATTGACCACGGTGTAAACTACTCAAGTCATCTTCTTACGAGAATGGGAATCGCGACCTCTACGTCTCACTTCACGAAGACCATTCACTTTCACCTCACGATAACTGTGGCTGGAATACCAAGCCGTTTAATACATGTTTCTTTTTTTTTGCAAAAGATATCAGAAAATGCTACACCGTCATCTTTTAATAATCTGTTAAATCCTTTTCTCACGTCAAATTAAACAAAATCTAAATGATCAATCATACAAAGATGCTTATTGTTTAATAGTTCTGAAGTCATCAATGATCAGTATACAAAAAATAATCAAAGACTTATTCTTATAAAAATAAACAATGTAAATAACAACGGCAAGGTTTGCTCCCCTTTTTAAAGCGTTTGCCTAATGAGAGGAAAACAATTATATTTTTCACATACGTTTTCCCAAAATCACTATCACTAGATTTGATAATGTTGTAATAGATCTCGTCTATAACCTGTCTATACCATCGAACATCGATGAATACGAAACTCCAAGGCCCGAATTCACAAAGGAGGTTTGTCGACAAACCTTGGGTTTCGTACGTCATAATTATGACGCGTTTCTATAAACCTGGTTTGTAAAAACGCGTCGAAACGCGTCGTATGACGCACGAAAACCAAGGTTTTTCGACAAACCTCCTTTGTGAATTCGGACCCAATCGTTTGCCATTCATTCTTGATTGTGATCAATTATTGTTTCCACAAAAGTATGAAAGGGTATTTTTTTTTTAATTCCATGCTTTCCTATAATGAATAAAGTTGTTTTTCTTGTTATCGATGTTATCTTTGTGTACTAATAGGGAAGGACCTTCATTTTAACATGTACATAATCCCCTGTTTTTGCCATTAAAAATGAAAATGATATTTCGCATAAACTTAGACCAACGTTCATCTCTCTCTCTCTCTCATCCATACAGGGCACACTGATGAACGACTGCTGCATGACCACCTTCTGTGGACCGTGCACACTGTGTCAGCTGAGTCGTGAGGTGCAGGATATCAAATCAGGCAAGGCTCAGGTGTGAAACCAGGGCCAATCCCAGCCAACCAACTTACCAGCATTTCACAGGCGGTGCTATGAGCCATCTTTCACAAGAATCTTCACAACTTATACATTGATATATCAACAAAAGAGACGATGATTTTGTATTCAAGTCAATCATTTCTTTCACTGTACAAAGTTCTTTATTATTCATTGAAATTGTCATTATTATTTTTTTAAAGAACAATTTGAACAAGCCATTTATGCCTCGTATTAAAAAGTTAAAACTCTGAAAAACAGTTACAGCAATGAAGTAGCATGTTTTTTTTTATTAATTTGATTGCCTTTTAACAACAACTACAGAAACTCAGTTCTCTTTTGGAGAAGCAAAACAATCGAGCAAAACCTCAGGCATTTTTAATTCAGGGCAGGAGGGAGTGAAATCAGAGAGCCCATCTCGAAAACCTAAGGCCCGAATTCACAAAGGAGGTTTGTCGACAAACCGAGGTTTATGTACGTCATATGACGCGTTTTGACGCGTTTTTTACAAACCTGGTTTGTAAATAACAAAAGGAGGTTTTTCGAAACAAAAGGAGGTTTGTCGACAAACCTCCTTTGTGAATTCGGCCCTTATTGTTTGATCTTTTGGAGCTTCGAAAATAGTTGAAAGTAATTTCCTTAGTAAAGTGCATGGAAAGAAAATAACCACAGAAATTGTTAAGTAGTATATCTAAACTTATATTCATATACAATGTATTTAATAGTTAAGCGTACTTTGTTTCGTTCGTCTACGTCGTTGTGACTGCCGTTGTAGTATCTGTAAAATATAAAATACATTCATTGTGTAATCATATAGTAGCAAGAACGAATAAAGGTCATTTTACGAGTAATTCATTCAGTTTTTTTCTGATAAACATATATATTTTATACTTCATGAGACATTTGGAACGACATAGGAACACAATTCGCCTAAATAACCTCATTATATTATCATATTTATATGATATATTTCGCAGCCCATCGGTTGAGAAGCGCTGTTGTAGATCGATTTGTGTCTAAAATGTGAGAATATTGTGATTCAATCTATACCTTCATACCTAATAGAATTTCATCAAGTATTTAGCCAATCCATAAGCATGTTATCATTATACAACTATTTAATAATTTGGGCTAGGAAACTGTACATCTTAATGGTAGACTGAGATATGGACACGAATTAAAAAACAATTCATCTAATCTGTATCATACTCTATCTTAAAATATTCCTTGAATTTATTGCCTTATCTTGCTCGAAGCTCTGTTTATACAGTTTCATGAAGTTTTATATTTTCAACATTGTTTTTGTATATTTGTTTATGACGTAGGAGTGTGGGGAATTGAGAAAAAATCTCCTGGCTGAATTTTATCTCCTGGCTGAATTTTAAACTTGTTCAACATAAATCAAACACAGAGAGAAATTGATCTTCAATCTTACATGTACACTCTTAAAACTGAAATGTTGAATCACCATTTAAAAGGGCCGAGGAGTGACAACTCTTTCAAAATGGTAGATTAACACTTTGAACATGCTGGATCCAACACTATAAAGGTTGGATCCAGCATGTTCAAAGTGTTAATCTACCATTTTGAAAGAGTTGTCACTCCTCGGCCCTTTTAAATGGTGATTCAACATTTCAGTTTTAAGAGTGTATTTTATTGATGCCTTACTGGTGATGATGTCGACCAGACAGAAACAAGGCGACTGATGCGATGAAAAGTGTGTGGTCTCCCACAGGTCGTTCTTTTCCCAGCCTCTTCACTTCTCTCTTCATTCAATTTTGGAGCCTTAATAGCAACAGCATTCCCCCAATACTAGTATGTATTATTATTTGTTCATTTAATGCATTTATTCATCGTTTTGCCACTATTAAAAACGTGAGAAGTTGTAACGAATGGGACTATTGTAATCAGAATTCATTCGATAATTCGTCGCTGTTTTCACGAAGTGACGGTAGTGAAAAAAAATTGCATTCACTTTGCGTTACTATTTTCCACACTACCGTCACTTCGTGAAAATAGGGACGAATTTGTTACATTTTTTTAATCACTTTTTTTGATGGTAGTTAATAACTGTAACATGGGAAATCATTGATCATGTTGATGCTGAACGAGAACATGAAAGATAAGAGAGCTAATTAAGAATAAAATGAAGAGTACAGGTCTGCATTAACTTGAAACACTATTCAAATCCTACAGGACGGTTTCAGCTTCACAATGTTCATCATTAGAATAATCCTGTTCGAATAATAGGGCTCATCTACCCGCGAGTCCTATCTTTTCACGATTCTTTCAAATAAACATTTTATCCAATAATCACCGATGTACTTTAGAAATAGTACTAATATATGCGAAAAGCATGCCCGTATTTACTTGACCTAATACTAATAACATCATTCGAAGGTACACGTAGGTGTGACTAGGTGTGTGCATACTTCAGATTGATTACACTACAAGTACTATACTATATTGTAAACAAAAATAATCGAGCTGACTAATTTATACACTATCATGATTTATTCTTTTGAGTGATTTTTTTTTTACATTTCAAATAAACATTTAGATATTACAATTAAATTTGCTGTTTTGTTGTTTCTTATATATGTTTATGAGTTATATATTTGTTTAACTGTCATTAAAGCTGTATTCGGAAACGATGTTTATTAAAGCGTTTCTAGAAGAAGTAAGACTTAAGAACGGGTTCGGAGGAAGGATTGTAAGCCCGGTTAGCTCAGTCGGTAGAGCATCTGACTTTTAATCAGAGGGTCGCGGGTTCAAGTCCCTCATCGGGCGAGAGTATACTTTTAGCGCATGGAGACTTTGGTGGTAAGCGCTTTATAAGCAAAGTTTTTATTATTTATTATTATTATTATTATTATTAGAGGGCTATAGGAGTAAATGAGATGATGTTGAAGGGAATTGTGAAAGTGTGAAGAATATTCTCCTTCTTCTTTTTATTGAAGTAACTGTTGAGTGCAGAACAATAATACAGGAATAAATTAGAGACATCCTGGAGACATTTTTATATTCATTCAATATTTTTCTCTTTTATTCAGCTCCTTTCTTCTGTCAACAAAGATTTTCCCCTTCAAATCTCCCTCTTTTCATCTTTTCTCACCCCTCTCTCACCTAACCAGTAAGTCACGCCTTTTTTTTTATCTCTCTCTCTCTCTCTCTCTCTCTCTCTATCTATCTATCTATCTATCTCTCTCCCTCCCCTCTCTATCCCTCTCTCTCTCTCTCTCTCTCCCTCCCTCCCTCCCTCCCTCCCCCTCTCTTGCATCTGGTGTGAATAGCTTTAACGTTTGGGAACTGCCACTATAATACTAAGATATGAAAATGTATATTCTCGAACAATTATGGGAATTCATTATTTCATGACATCACTTTGTTTGTCTACAAGGCGAAATGCGAGATAGAAAAAGCATCCGCAATTTCGTTATGTACATAATGTAGGCCTAATTATACTACCCGAACATTAATAATTCAGGGGAAAATAATCCATAGGCATCCTCGTGTGCCGTAACCAACTGCAAGTTGTCTTCAGTGTTTTGTGTTCTTGAAATGGGTGAGGGTGGGAGCTTAAGCCACTATTTAGCATTACGTAAGGATGGAAGCACAGATCTAGAATCCACTTTCCACACTTACCATATACACAGTGCACGTATATAAGAGTTATACATCGGATGATTAAAAGACCATGGCTGGGGTTTATCATGAAGACTACTACCTACATCCATCAGTGCTCCGGGGGCTTCACAGTCATGTGGGCATAGTTTGTTTGTCCTTACAGTAGGGAGGGAGATAAAACATTTAGCTATAACCACTCCCTTCCCCTACCCGCCCCCGCAACCCAGAATGATGAATGAAATGGGGGAAGGGGGGGGGGGGTGACCGCACTCGCATCTTTCTCTTTGACATTTCAAATTGGGAACTATATGTCAAAATTTAAACCATACTGTCGGCTAAGAAATGTATATATTATTCAATAAATAAGTTCATGATAAACGTAGCCAAAGGAAACAATTGTTTAATAGTGTCACTTCTGTGTTTGAAAACGAAGCGACGCGATATGAAAGTTTAAAATTTCAATTCTGTCTACAGAATCATTATTTATCCATTGATAGCTAAAATACTTTCATTTTAACAGCGTCAGTGTATTCTAAGTGATTTTGAAGTAGAAAACAATAAATCCCAAGATCATCTTTAAACAAAATGTCAAAGTATTTGTGAAAAAGAGGTGAATATGAAAAGAGACGGATAACGCGAATGAAAGAGATAGAGAGAAAGAAAAGCAGAGATAGACAAAGAGGATGAGAGAGAAAATATTGTGTGTGGGAGAGAGAGAGAGAGAGAGAGAGAGAGAGAGAAAGAGTGAGAGAGAGAGAGAGAGGGAGAGAGAGAGAGAGAGAGAGAGAAAGAGAGAGAGAGAAAGAGGGGGAGGGGGAGGAGGAGGAGGGGAAAACTAGCATTTATTGAAAATTATCACTATTACCTCTTTGACATCAATGACAATTAATCGTGAGTCAAATAATTGTGTTTCGAGAGAAAGGGTATGTAAACTGATCTTTCAACTTGTAAACAGAGAAATAGAATATGGTGGTCAGAAATACCGACATTAATGCCCCCACACACCACATCCACACGTACCCCACACGTACCCTCACCCACTTACTCTCTCATACACGCACACAGGCGCCTACGCAGGGGGGGGGGGGCTGGGGGTCGAATCCCCTCAATTTGTTTTTATGTGTATGTTTTGGAGGAACCCGCCCTCCGATTGTTTTTTTTTAATTTAAAAAAAAAAAGGTGACATTAAACCCCCCCCCCCCCTCTCGAAAAAAAAGTGATCTAAAAATGGTGACATTAACCCCCCCCCCCTACACTGAACGAAATATCGGTCAGCCAAATTTTCAAATTTTCGGGGGGGGGGGGGAAATGTGCTCTTACCCCACCCCCGCTTATTCAGCGGTTTGCTGAGTCGTTGCGAAATTTTCGGCGCGATTTTCAAATATTTTAAAACACCCCCCCTTGAGAAAAAAAATCCTGCGTACGCCACTGCATACACACATCAACGACGCCCCTGCACACGGATACGATTGATCAGCCCAGCAATGCAAAACGCTTCGTGTTCAACCACACGGTTCGGCACCATCACTCAGAGGAGTTCGAGGATGTAGAATTCTACTCAGTGACACTTCTGCATTATGAAACTGACTGCAGAAACTTAACTTCCGCCATTTCCCTTTCTCCTTTTCATTACTTAATAGTTTTCTCATTTTTATTTTGTTCAATTGGTCGTGTTCATAATAGAAAGTATATTGTGATATATCAGTTTCATTTAAATGAATCGGCCTAATTCTAATTACTGCCTTATTTTTGATGTATAATTGGATTCTTATCAAATATGTTTCTCATTTTTATCAAACCACATCCCACATCTATTTTTTTTTGGAGAAGTCAAAGATATTGCGAATTTGG